ACTGATTTTGAGTCTGCCATGTGTATCTATCAGGCACAATTTCTTTTCAGATAGAAAAAGGGTTATAGTTATGAGAAAAAACTAAACATTTCTTTGTTGTATTTTGTTTCTTTTCTTTAAACTGTGGATTTAAGACAACGACTAGTTGTTAATACAGGATATCTGATGTGCATCTATGCATTTCAGATTTTGGCTCTGTGTTTGCTGAATTTGTTCAAAGTTATATCAGGTTCTGAATTATATGAAATGCTCATCTATGCCCGCAGCCTCGTTTTTTGTGTTACACTCTGACAGTTGTATCAGTGCAGAACACCTAAAGGTACAGGAGAAATACAAAATGCCTCCAGAGCAGTATGACACATCTATGCCTCTGGTAAGTGTGCAAATTTGCAGAATTTGCTGTATTGAAGTATGGTAGCTTTTCAGATTGTATTGTTTTGATTTTGAGGTCACTATTTGGGGAGTTCCACTTGTGGTGTTTGAAATTCTAGGACAATGACTATTTTACAATTACAAGGGTTGGAAAGTTCCCCTTATCCTACTTCCCCATCCTTTGATTTTACTATTATTTATTATTTTCTTTGCTTCAGCTATCTCATTACTTATTATTGCTACTGTTCTTTTCTTCATTATCCTGTTAGTGTATTTGTTTTTCATGTCTTCTGTGATATGGTTTGCTTAAGCTGAGGGTCTATCGGAAAAAGTCTCTTTACTTTCTCTAGGTAGGGGTAAGACTTTATACACACCACCCTCTTTCTGACTCCACTTGTGGAATTTCACTGGTATGTTGTTGATGTTGATGTTGAAGGCTTGGAAAATAGTTATTTTTACTTGATATTATACTCATTGAAGATAGTAGATAACTAATACAGTAAAACATTGAGGTACGTGCAAATTTGATCGAACACATAGATTAGTGATCATGAATTAGGCTTTATTTACAACCCACTGCTATCTGTTTTGGGGTTTTCTAGTTCCATACGTCATGGCAAGGATCCATTATTTTAATGTAATGCTGATATGATTAGACTGTAAACTCGGAAAGATAAAATTAGGAATGAAGATATTTCAAAAAAAAAAAATATGAGTGATATTTTATGATAGACAAAATGAAGGAAGTGAGATTAAGATAGTTCAAACAAATGAAGAGAAGATGTGTAAATACACACACCATTGATTGGGGGAGAAGTGATTATAGATAGGACAATGCATTTTTAGTTTATAGAGGACATGATCTTAGAAACGAGGTTATGAAGGTCATAGATATTAGGACAGTAAAAGGTTAGTAGGTAGTTGAGCGTCATCTCACTTTCTTACAGAATAAGCTTGGTGGTAATTTGGTGCACCATACCTGTTTCCTCGTTCATTGGCAGTAGCATTATTTTTGTTAATTTCTGTTGTTTCGTGTGCTTCAATTATTGCATTATTTGACTGTTGTTACTATTCCTTATTTTTCAAATACTATGCAATGCTTCTTTTTATTTATTTAATTATTATGTCCTCTTTACTTTTGTATGTTTTCTTAATCAAACTGCTTTAATATGTGTTGTTTGAGTCGAGAGTCTTTTGAAAGTGACATTTCTAACTGGTGTGCGTATATTCTACCCTTTTTGGACCCCAAATTGCTTTAGTATGCGTTATTTGAGTCGAAGGTCTTTTGAAAATGACCTTTCTATTTAGTGTGCGTGTATTCTACAATTTTCGGACCCCATTTATAAGATTACGCGAAATATGTTGTTGATGGTCGTCATAAAATTTAAGGGGTCAAAATGTATAAGAAAATAACTTAGGTGGATGCAAAAGCCATCATATAATTCATATACATTATTAGAATGCAAAGAGAAGTCTAAAAGCTAACGACGTCGTTGGAAGTGATAGGCTTTTGGCCGTAAACGGTGGTTTTAGCACGGCGATTCCTAGGGTTTAGGCCGCCGAAGACGACGGAGTAAGATGAAGCCGGTAGTAAGAACAGCAGTGTCGAACGGACCTCTAATTTCATGGCTCAGTACGAGAAGGATGAATGCAACATCGGTGACCGCGTAAATACTCTCTCTCTCTCTCTCTCTCTCTATATATATATATATATATATAGTTGTTATTAAATCGTTTTTTTCGTCAGTTTTCTGATTATGTTATTTTGGTCTTTGATTATCTGAGCAATTTTAATTATGAGGTTGTTAACTTGCAATTGGCTTCAAAATAGTTGTTTGTTTCAATGCAAATTAAAAAAGCACCTAAAATTACAGATATCTAGACTTATTGTAGAGATTCATTTCATGAAGTTGGTTAAAAATTAGATTTTTTTCATGGAAATGTTGCTGCTGATGTTATTTTGGTTTCTGAATTCAAGGGTTCTAAATTATGAGCTTGTAAACTAGTAATATGACTCCAAAATGGTTGTTTCTTTCAATGAGGAATAAAGAAGCAACCAAAATCATGAGCTTGAAAACTAGTAATATTACTCCAAAATGGTTGTTTCTGTCAATGAAGAATAAAGAAGCAACTAAAATTATGCATCCCTAGACTCGTTGTGGAGTTCATTTTTATCTAAATTCTTAGTTGGCGATGTGTTCCTATCTTCTGTGCTTGTAATCTGTTTATGATGAGTACATGAAATTGGTGAATTTTCCTTATTTTCAGTTGAAATTTTGTTAATAATGTTATTACCCAGTCTCAACTATGGATATAAAAGGGGTCTACGGTAGGTTATAGTCTAATTATGCTAAGCGTATGAAGACTAAATTAGAGTGGCACTGGTTAAGAGGCTTTCCATTATGGACTGTAATTACTTTGGGGTCGTGTTGTGGTTGATTCTTTAATGGCATTTTGAATTATATATTTACACCTTGAATATTTGGAAGTATGATATATGAAATACACTTCTAGTCATGAGTTTGAGAAAGAAGGAGAGTGGTGGGCTATAAGTTTCTAGTGAAGGGAAAGATGTGCGGATTCAAATATAAATGTGATTCGTCCAACCACTAATTTTGTTTATTTATTTTTTCTTCTTCTTTATTAGTAATTTCTAAAACTCAAAGTGGAAACATTCATTAAACCTTGCTTAGGATATTTGATTTGTCCAACACCAAATTTGCCTTGTTGTTCTTCTTATTTATTAGTATTTTCCTTAAATTCAAAGTGTTAAAAATCATTAAATATAACTTATGATATTTGACTCGTCCAACCACCAAATTTGCCTTGTTTTTTTTCCTTAAATTTGAAGTGGAAAAATTCATTAATTCTAGCTTACAATATTTGATTCGTCCAACCATCAAATTTGTTTTACGTTCCTTCTTATTTATTACTAATTTCTTAAATTCAATGTGGAAAAATTCATTAAATCTAGCTTACAATATTTGATTCGTCCAACCACCGAATTTGTCTTGTGTTTCTTCTTATTTATTCCTACTGCTTTTAATTTAAAGTGGAAAAATTTATTAAAACTAGCTTTATTGTGGTAATTATGATTATATTCCTTCAATCCAAAGTGGAAAAAATCATTAAATCTAACTTGTATCTACAACCAAATACATTCACATTTCAAAATCACATTTGTAGTGTGAATTTTATCCACACTCCAAAATCACATTTTTGGTGTGAACTTATTACCTGATTAACTAGAGTTAAAATAAAGGAAAATCTCAAGCACATGTATTTCGTTTGATGTTTACTAAGCTTTTAAATAATTAAGAACATTTATAATCAATAATAGGAGGACATTTTAAAATTTTATCCTCCTATTTATTGCTTGACAAAGTAATTTTTTTTTCTTTCAAAATTTGAACTGAAAGTATATAATAAAAACACTATTTCATGTGTTCAAATGTTCAATTGAAATAAACCATAATTCAAGTGTCAAAGTGAAATTTATTGAACACTTAAAACAATTCTAATACAAGTAGGCCCCACATAAACTCTTACTCTCACATGTAACTTGTGATTGAGTACACCATATGCAAAAAAGACAAAAATAAATAAATAGAGATTTTCTCTTCTCTTAGCTAAATATAATTCTTTACTTTTCATACATTACTCTCTGTGTGTGTTCTTTTTTCTCTCGTGTTCACTTCTCTTAGTTTTTACTTCAATTTTTCTTCAGAGCTCCAGTGGTCAGAAAATTGATCGGCATCAGAAAACACGTAGAATCATCACATTCTTCATATACCTCAGTTCCGAGAATAGAAATTGTTCGTTTTCTTTCTGTACGCAATTCAAATCGAGGTAAATTTACTTTTTTCTCTTTGATTTTGCCTTTGATCGTTCATTTTTATGAATATGCTAGGTTTCAATTAAAGTTTAACACTAGGTGATTTCTTTCTTCCATTTGTCCTACCCTTGTTAGATAGAGTTGCTTGGTACTTGTTGCCAGTGAGAAGTGACAGGTACCCTGGAATTAGTCGAGATGCATGCAAGCTAAGCCTGTACACCACTCTTATTAAAAAAAGATTTGAAATAGGTGTAATTTTTTCTCGGACGTCCTTTTAGATCTATTTTTTTTGACAAGTTTAGCCTTGTTCTTTATTTCTATAATTTGGAGTTCTGCTGAAAGTTTTATCTTCCTGCGCTATGTTTGAATTTTGGATTATTTTTTTTTGCCTTGGGAAGTTTGATCTGGAGATAAAAATGCCGATGTTTTTTTCTTCTTGGAAACCCCCTATAATTGGAAGAAAATTGTAGTGGTGAAAGTTGAAATTGGAATTTTTTTTCCTTCATATTAGTTCTATTTTGAGATAATTGCTGCCTACCTCTAGTATGCTTATCATCATACTAGGTTGATTTATCAAAGAAAAATCTGAGTGGGTTAGTCATCAAAGAGGAAACAGGGTTACTCACTTTCACAAGCGTTTGACCTTGTCAGTCTACATAGAAGAATTGATTTTTGATGAACCTAACCATTTCCATTTTTATGTTTTGCAGGGCTGTGGAGGTGCGGCTTGATTTTAGAAATCTTCATGCACAATAAATAAGTTGGATTGAAGCTTTTCTGTTGTAGCTGCTTTATCAGAAAAAATATTGAGGCTCCAAAATTTGTTGGACTTGTAGACTTGAATCAAAACCTGTCGCAAAATTTTTATCATAAGCTTGGTGAGGGGTCAAACATGTCTATTGAAGGTTATGGGATGAGCAATGCTGGTGGTTCTGGTGCAATGGCGGTGGATAACAGCAGTGTTGGATCAAATGATTCACACACTCATATTCTAAACCAGCAGGGTAATCACATCCACAATAACGATTCTGTTGCTGCTAGCGTAGTCAGGGGGAGAGTTACTAGGTTGAGCGATGATGCCCTTGCTCAAGCCTTGGTTGATCCTCAATTCCCCACTATTGGTCTTGCAATTTATCATGAGTGGACAATTGACTTGAGGAGGCTTACCATTGGGCAAGCATTTGCTCAAGGATCTTTTGGGAAACTCTATAAGGGAACTTATAATGGTGAAGATGTTGCCATCAAGCTTCTAGAGAGGCCAGAACATGATCTTGAGAAGGCTCACTTTATGGAGCTGCAATTTCATCATGAGGTCAAAATGTTGGCAAATTTGAAGCATCCAAATGTAGTACGATTTATTGGTGCATGCCGTAAAGCCATGGTGTGGTGTATTGTGACTGAATATGCAAGAGGGGGTTCAGTGCGTCAGTTCCTCACGAGGCGGCAAAACCGAGCTGTGCCATTGAAGTTAGCAGTTGTGCAGGCCTTGGATGTGGCAAGGGGGATGGAGTATGTGCATGGCCGGAATCTGATTCACCGAGATCTGAAATCCGACAATCTGCTGATTGCTGCTGACAAGTCAATCAAGATTGCAGACTTTGGTATTGCTCGAATTGAGGTACTGACTGAAGGAATGACACCAGAAACTGGCACTTACCGCTGGATGGCTCCGTAAGCATCTAGACTCTTTAGCAGCCTTGTCAAATCTGGTGTCTTGATCCAGTTTGAGTTTATTGCCAAACCCTATAATAGAGCTCTTAAGCTTTTTATCCTATTCTTGTGGGTTATTTTTTCTCTGTCTGCATTACTTTCTGTATTTTTTTTCAAAATTGCTTTGTATGTGTTTCTTTAGCCAAGCATCTTCCGGAAACAACCTCTCTTCTTCCACGAGGGCAGGCTAAGGTCTGCTTTCTCTCTACCCACCCCAGATCCCACTGAGTGGGATTTCACAGGGTATGTTGTTGTTGTAGCATGCTGGATTCCCTTTATGGAATAAATTTTATTAGAACTGAAGTGAAGAGCATGGTGGTTGATGGGTTCAAGTCCTGTATGTTCTTTTGATGCCACCTCACTGATTGTGATTGTATTTTCTATTGTATACCTAGTGTTTCTTCCAGTTAACTTCTTAATTTAGTTCTGTACCTGATAATGAAGGATAAAGAGTTGATTGACTTTACTTTCTCTTTCAATTCCTTTCCCTCCTTTTCCTTTTCCTTCTTGTCCATGACTTGTAACTTGATTCAAGTTAGACACACTCAAGGGTGTCACTTTGTTGTCAATGAAGTAGGAGCAAACCTTTGGAGATTAGGGTTCAATCATCCCAGAGACAGAAAACACCAAGTGTTCTCTTCCCATATGCCTAAACCTTAAACCTTTGTGGGTATAGTTACCCGAAATCGAGATGCATGCAAGTTGGATTGGATACCATTTTCAGAAAGAGTAAAATTGCATATATCTGAAAATGGGTCTAAGACATTAACTACCACACTGGGTTCACTTTCAGGATGTGTCTGAGAGATATGAACCACAATTCTATTCTTATTGAATATGTAGATGAAACTTCTATGGGAAGTATATTATCTCTTTCTCTCCTTTGTGAGTGTCGACCTTCCAGCATCATCTTTAGCATCACCTCTTTCTTCAAAGCAGTGAGGCTATTTTGGAAATAATGTATTGGTAAGAAAGAGAATGGGGAGGTGCGATTCACCAGAGATCTCTCTCTTTATAGGATGACATACATCCACAAGAGTCGCATTGTTTGTTGCTGCTGGAGAAACTTAAAAAGAGCAAGGGAATGACATGTCTACCAGAAACATTTCTTGTTTAGAGTGGAAGTTGGTTGCCGAATGAAAGTTTTTAAGTTGTTAGTAGTTGAACAGCATTCCTGTTTGCTTGGCTCGTGCTAACTTTCTCAAAGCACTGAAATGAATCAGTTAAAGAAGGATTGTTTAGGACATGTTATTTGGACATACACTGGTGTCTCTGGAATCTGCAGGGCTCTTGTTAACTTTCTCAAAGCACTGAAATGAATCAGTTAAAGGAGGACTGTTTAGGACAATTTAATTGGACATACACTACACTAGTGTCTCTGGAATCTGCAGGTGGAAGTCATTGCTCTGTTGGAGGATGGCAAAACAAACATCAATTTTTTTTTATGACAAAGGAAACCCGCAGCTGCTATCCATTGGGTGCGTACACGGTAAAATCCCCGCTCCTATGCAATAGCTCACAAAATTCGTAAGAGAGGTAACCTGCACAAGGCAAGCTCGGTGCGACGAGCTTGACCCAGAAGACAAACCCCTTGCTTTTGCTGGCAAGGGGTTTTGAACTTGAGACCTCCAAAATGGAAGTCCCAAGCCCAAACCACTAGGCCACCCCAAAGGGTAACTGGCATATCTATTCTGATGTTTCTGGAAGGAATTCTAGGAGGGCCTTACAGAAACTACTCTACAACGATAATATGATTCTCCGCTGAGTTACTACATAGACTTTTTTCATCATTAGACAATCTCTACGGAAAGGTAAAAGTGGAATATTTGGCTCAATCTTCAATGAATCTAAATCATTTATTGGAACCTTCACTATTCTTTAGGAAGAGGCCTCTTTAAAAGCATAAAAAGCAACTAGGTGATGTTTCTATAATCTACAACGATTATGTGGATTCTGCATTGAGTTGCTACATGGACTTGTTCCGCCCATAAGACTATTTCAATCTCTATGGAAAGGTAGAAGTGGAATACATGGCTTAATCTTCTCATATTAAAAGCAAAAAACGATCCATGGAGTAAAAAGCTTGGAGTGAAGCTTACAAGTTATGGAAAAGTATAATGAAGTACCATCCACAAAGAAATTTAGTAATCTTCTCATGAACTTGAAACATTTGTTGAAACCTCCAATTATTGAGAGTACTGTTATTAGAAGCGAGAAACACAAAAAGCGACAAGTCCATGGAGTTTGAAGCAAATATCGAGAAGTGAAGCACAATGGCTATAAGAAGTAAGTAATGCCGAACATAAAAGGATTTAGTACAATAAAGATGCAAATAAAATAAATGGTTTTTGCATCTAGTTTACTTAATATTGATATTGATCTTGCTCTTCAAAGTCGAGATTCAAAAAAGTAGATCCTTTCTCGTTAGGATCATTTCGCACGTCATTGTTTAAAGCAGTGCATGGCTTCAAGAAGTAATCCCATTCTTCAAATTGCTTTAAGCGATGGCTTTGAATAATAATGTGGGAGAGATGTGACACATGATGAAATCAATGCCCAGTAAGAAGAATGATAAGAATGCCTTATTTGGTATTTTTTTTTTTTGATAACCGAGAAATCCGTCTGTGACCCGCCCTTTGGACCAATCATAGCCTTCTAAACTCGGTGGATAATGGGCCCGCCCCTCTACCCTTCTCCACTTAAATACCAGGCTTCGCTTTGCATGGTGTGGGGCTTGAACCTGCGACCTAAGCCACAAATCCTCCACCTTTTGCCACTTGAGCTAGGAATTGGGGGCAATGCCTTATTTGGTATTAAGTCTTACAACACGTGTTGCTAGACCTGATTTGACAAATGCCTTGTATAAGTTGAAGTAGATCTTTTAGAAACAAAAGGAGCATGAAAACCTCATAATGATCAATCAATTAGTATAACTTGTTAAATTACGGAGATCCTACGTCAGGCCGATTATGACTTAGTATTTCTGACATCTAACTTTTAGTGCCTCACATACTATGTTGTATCGGTCCTTTGCATTACATACATGTTGAAATGGGTGTGTCATGGTTACGCGTACTCTTCAAAATACACAAATAATTTACAAAATGATACTTACATCTGATAAAATTCATACTCACAGACGAGTCAAGAAGATTTAGGATTTAAAGTTAATCGGTTCCCAATGATATCAAGTTTAAAAAGTAAATTATTATATGTGCCCAAGGGGAATCGAGCCTTCAATGAGGAGGGCAATAAAGCTCAAGCAAGTTCCCATTTATGCCGCTGGACCAAGAGCTTACTTTGTTAGTAGATCCCAACAAATACTTTAAATATTTAATTGACTGGATTCCACAAAACCTACACATGATACTTTAGGTCCGCCCCTGTTCAATAGCAACAACAACATACTCAGTGCAATCCCACATGTGGGGTTTGGTGAGAGTAGAGTGTATGCAAATGTTACCCTTAACTTGTTGAGATAAAGAGGTTTGTTCTGAAAGACCCTCAACTTTAAATAAACTTGCCAAACAGTTTGCAAAAGGGAATACAAATATTCGGAGCAATCACAATGACACATTTACGTAAAATGGCAAGTGTTACATAACAAACAAGTGAAAGAACAATAACAAAAGTGAAATAATGCAATAATCAACACACAAAAAACTTCAAGAGTAGTGCTAATACTACTGATAAGAATACTAGTGAAAGCCTATCTCGCAAAGAAGCAAGAGAATGCTCAATTACCAACTAACCATTTACCCTAATACACGACCTCTATACTCTCCTATCAAATGCCATGTCCTCGGTAAGATCTAGATGCACTCCGTCTAATCACTTCCTCCCAATACTTCTTCGGCTTGACTTTACCTCTCTTGACGTCCTCCCTTGCCAACAACTCACACCTCCTCACTGAGGCGTCTATACTCCTCCTCCTCACGTGTCCAAATCATCTCAGTTTCACTTCCCTCATCTTGTCCAACATGGAGGCCACTCCTACCTTGTGTCGGATATCTCCATTCTTAATCTTGCCACTCTTAGTATGCCCACACACCCACATCAATATCCTCATTTGAACAATTTTCTTCTTCTGAACTTGGGATTTCTTAATAGGCCAACACTCCGCCTCATAAAATGTGGTCGGTCTAACCACTACTCTGTAGAGCTTACCCATCCATACTCCATATAATATGGATTTCATGTTATTTTAGTTGCGGAAGAATAAGTATATTTGAAACATTTTGGATTTCTCCACTAAAACTCATCACCTCTAAAGAATGATAGAAAAAACGAAAGCATCAAATCTATTTAGGTGGCACGGGTGTCCACATGGGCTTGATTTGCCAAGTTTGTTAATATGTACTATGAAACACCAAATTAATTTTAGAGTATGCATTAGGTATGTAAAAATATATTTTACTATTTGTTTTATGTATTACGGTGCATGTATAGGCTGACTGTTGTATTGATTCATGCATTAGCGCCTGATTGTTAAACTGTTGAAAATTTATTGACATCTATTGGAAGATCTCCTTGGTTGGCACAATTTGACCTGAAGGCTGCAAAAATTATGACAACTAAGAAAATTACTTCATTTTGCTCAGTTTATTGTTCTACTGATACATGGGGTTTTCCTGTATTTAGGGGTCGTTTGGTGTGAGGGATAAAAATAAATAGTCCTGGGATAAAAAAACAGTCTTGGGATTAAATTTTGGTGTCTTGTTTGGTTGCCATGTTTGGGATAACTTATCCCACCATTTATACCATAGTGATGGGATAAGTTATCCCATATACATGGCGGAATAAGTAATCTCAGGATAATTAATCATGGGATAACTTGTTCCCAACCAAATGACCCCTTAGAGTCTTATTTAAGAGTTGGTAATATTTAGTGACTCTTTCGAGAAAAAAATTTCAAATCACGATTTCCCTTAGGATTCTGCTCTTAGAAGTTCAGTTATTTGTGTCTCAGGCATATATGGCAGTTAGAATTTAAACCTTGAATTAGATCATCAATTCAGGTTGGTTTAGAGAATATGGTATAGAGTTAAATAAATCCCTTTCAATCTGGTGGAGATTGATTGCTATATCCAGTTGAGGGTAGATTACTGATGATAGAACTGGCATTTTTTTATTTCTTTTGTCCTGGACAGAAGTATCGCCATCAGTTTCCGTTTGGGTTTGTACCTTACACAATGTTAGAGAGGAAAGCATATTCCTTATAAGCTAAGTGAGTTGGAGATTAAGCTTTTGTTTTCTTGAGATAATGTGACAACTGGAGAAGTTTCGATTTCTAATAGGACATTTCTTTCAGACTTGATAAAAAATAAGTGTTCATGTCTGCCTGAAATATCTTCGAAATGGTTGCGATCAGAAAGGATTTAGGAGGTTGACCTGGTGAGTGGTGGTAATTTTATAGTCTTCTCTGTGTGATAATAGGCTAGTATGCATGAATGGCTTTCCTTGGGGAAATAGACAAAATAATATGTTTGCTTTTGTTAATTTGATGTGATAATGCAAGATCTTGCCAAAAGAGGTGTGGATCGGATCTCAATATCTGGTAAAACTCGAATACATGCCAGCCAGTCTGACTCTTTGTATAATTCTAGTATACTCAAATTTTTATTCTGATTAACTGAGAAATGAAGTTACTTTTCAAGTTTACTCTTGAGAAATTAGTTATTCACATTCTGCAGATCCTATCCCGTTTAACTTTGTGAATTATTGGCAAGTGTGTCTGGTTTCTTCTCTTTTCAGAAAAAAGTAAAATGGATGTTCAAAGTTGTTAGCAATAGCATCTGTGTTTCGTTGTGGATTGCTAAGCGTTTGACTTTGTTTTGTAGGGAGATGATCCAGCACCGGCCATACACCCAGAAAGTTGATGTTTATAGTTTTGGCATTGTTCTGTGGGAGCTCATAACAGGGTTGCTTCCTTACCAGAGCATGACTGCTGTGCAGGCTGCTTTTGCTGTTGTCAACAAAGGCATCCGTCCAACAATCCCCATTGATTGCTTGCCTGTCTTATCTGATATCATGACCTGCTGCTGGGATTCTGACCCTGATAATCGGCCAACTTTCTCTCAGGTGGTCAAGATGCTTGAGGTGGCTGAGACAGAAATCATGACTAATATCAGAAGGGCACGTTTCAGGTGCTCCCCTCATCCTACGGCTACAGGGTAAGAGGAAACTGGAGGCAACTGATTTTGAGTCTGCCATGTGTATCTATGAGGCACAATTTCTTTGCAAATAGAAAAAGGGCTATAGTTATGAGAAAAAACTAAACATTTCTCTGCTGTTTTTTGTTTCTTTTCTTTAATCCGTGTATTTAAGATGGTGACTAGTTGGTAATACAGGATATCTGATGTGCATGTCAGATTATGGCTGTATTTGCTGAATTTGTTCAAAGTTATATCAGGTTCTGAATTATATATGAAATGCTCATCTGTTGTATTTTCTTTTCATACCTATTGTGATATGCTTTACTTAAGTCGAGGGTCTATCGAAACAACCTCTCTACTTTCACAAGGTAGGGTTAAGGTTGTGTAAACATCACCCTCTTCAGACTGAACTTGTAGAATTTTATTGGGTATATTGTTGTTGTTCAAGGGTTGGAGAGTAGTTATGTTTATCCATTTAATAACATTTATTTTTACCATAATTAAATGATAAAATTGATATTATATTTCATGCTATTAATTAACCATATGCACAAGATTCCATAAGAGATAACTTATTTATCGAAACTTTAGTGGATAAAGTTACTTGATAACTAACAAAACAATTGAGATATGTTTGGTGGTAATTTGGTACACCATACATGTTTCCTTGTTCATATGTAGTAAAATTATTTTTTGTTAATTCTCGTTCTCATATACTTCAATTATCACATTAGTTGATGATTGTTACTATTCCTTGTTTATCAAATACTGTTCAATGCTTTTTATTTATTTATTTATTTATTATGTTGTCTTGCTTTTGTATGTTTTTTTTCAAATTGCTTTAGTAGATGAGTTGAGTCTTTCGAAAATGACATTTCTACCTATTATGCGTATATTCTATCTTTTTCGTACCCTATTTATAAAATTACATGTTACCGTCATAAAATTTAAGGGTCAAAATGTATTAGAAAATAACTTAGGTGGGTGCAAAAGCCATCATAATAATTCATATACATTAGAATGCAAAGAGAAGTCACAAAGCTAACGGCGTCGTTGAGAGTTATAGGATTTTGGCCGCAGACGGTGGCTTTAGCACTGTGATTGCTAGGGTTTAGGCTGGAAAAGACGACGGAGTAAGATGAAGCCGGTAGTAGGAACAACAGTGTCGAACAAGGCTTACAATCGATATGTCAAACGGACCTCCAAATTCATGGCTCATGATGAGAAGGATGAATGCAACATCGGTGACCGTGTATATACTCTCTCTCTCTATATATATAACATTAATTAGCAAATATTATTTAAGTTACTACCCCGTTCATCTCTTCCTTTTAACCTGTGTTCTTAAAAACTTCTTCATTAACCCCACCCCGGAGATGGCCAACAAGAAGTCCTGTGATTTTTTTGGACTTTTTTAAGGCCTTAGAAACATCCTAGGAATTTACAGGTTAATCCATCGTTGTTATTAAGAAGTTAAAAGTCTAACAATATGCTGAGGGTAGTTTTATACTACAAACATATTTACATACTTAACATTAATTAGCAAATATTATTTAAAACAGACATAATTTACATATATTTTTAGGGAAAATACAGGAAACATAAAAGACTTACATGACTTAGACGGAGAGAGCTTTCCCTTTCGGGAACCCCGACTGACTCTTACACACTTAAAACAAACTTTTCTACAAGCTGGGGATTACAAGAGGGATTTTAGGAGTTTTTGAATTGAGTAGTGGAGATGATTTTTCTAAACATTGGGAAGGGGAATATGTTGTGTGTTTTTCTCTGATGTTTCTTTTTTCTTGTTCTTCTTAAGTGTGGAGGAGAGTCTTTATATAGAGATTGAGGGGGACTTACCATAAAGCGTGGACAAATCCTAATGGCCAAACGTGGCCGACGCACTAAGATAGTGGAATAAAAAGTAGTGGCCTAGACTTGGCCGACTCTTGAAACGATAAGCTCAAATAATTCATGCCGGGTACACATTTGGGCCCCATCGCACATGCCTTATTTTCACTTATTGACACAAACTTTGACACAATATACAACGCGTGCTTATCAGTTTTTTCCTCTTTGGAGGATAGTGATAAAGTAAGCACTCACACGACAAATGTGGGCATACCCACATGGCACACTCTTATTCCTATTTTTATTTGTCTTGTTCTTCCCCTTCTTCAGTTTGTCTTCAAGTGTCAAGGTTGTGCAGAGCTACGGAATCAAAACTCATTCCTGAATCATCATATATATATATATATATATATATATATATATATATATATATGCATATAGTTGTTATTAAATCGTTTTTTTCGTCAGTTTGCTTATTATGTTATTTTGATCTTTGATTATCTGAGCAATTTTAATTATGAGCTTGTTAACTTGCAATTGGCTTCAAAATAGTTGTTTGTTTCAATGCAAATAAAAAGAGCACCTAAAATTACACATATCTAGACTCATTGTAGAGATTCATTTCATTTCGTAATTCTTGTCTGTTTGTTGGTACATGAAGTTGGTTAAAAATTAGATTTTTTTCGTGGGAATGTTGCTGCTGATGTTATTTTGGTTTCTGAATTCAAGGCTCTAAATTATGAGCTTGTAAACTAGTAATATGACTCCAAAACAGTTGTTTCTGATGTTTTTCGTGCGTGATTGATTCTTTAATGGCATTTCAAATTATATTACACCTTGAGCTATACAAGACGAGAGAAAAGGGTATACTTTCCCTGTGAATATTTGGAAGTATACTATATGAAAATACACTTCTAATCATGAGTTTGAGAAAGAAGGCGGGTGGTGGGATATAAGTTTTTCGTGAAGGGGAAGATGTGCCAATTCAAATATAACTGTGATTCGTCCAATCACTAATTTTATTTTGTTTTTTTCTTCTTATTTATTAGTAATTTCTAAAACTTTAAGTGGAAAAATTCATTAAATCTAGCTTAAGATATTTGATTCGTCCATCCACTAAATTTGCCTTGTTCTTATTTATTAATATTTTCCTTAAATTGAAAGTGAAAAATTCATTAAATATCACATACGATATTTGATTCATCCAACCACCAAATTTGCCTTTTCTTTCTTTCTTATTTATTAGTATTTTCCTTAAATTCAAAGTGGAGGAATTCATTAATTCTAGCTTACAATATTTGAGTCGTCAACCACCAAAATTGTCTTATGCTTATTCTTATTTATTTCTACTTTCTTAGATTCAAAGTGGAAAAATTCATTAAATCTAGCTTACAATATTTGATTCGTCCAACCACCAAATTCATCTTGTGCTTCTTCGTATTTATTACTACTATCTTTTATTCAAAGTTGAAAATTTTATTAAATCTAGCTTTATTGTGGTAATTATGATTATATTCCTTCAATCCAAAGTGGAAAAAATCATTAAATCTAACTTGTATCTACAACCAAATACATTCACATTTCAAAATCACATTTGTAGTGTGAACTTATTGCCTGATTTACTAGAGTTAAAATAAAGGAAAAATCTCAAGCACATGTATTTTCTTTGATGTTTACTAAGCTTATAAATAATTAAGAACATTTATAATCAATAATAAGAGAACATTTTAAAATTTATCCTCCTATTTATTGCCTGACAAAGTAATTTTTTTTCTTTCAAAATTTGAACTAAAAGTAAATAATAAAAACACAATTTCATGTGTTCAGATGTTCAATTGAAATAAACCATAATTTAAGTGTCAAAATGAAATTTATTGAACACTTAAACAATTCTAATGCAAGTAGGCCCTATATAAACTCTTACTCACACATGTAACTTGTGATTGAGTACACCATATGCAAAAAAGAACCAAAAAAAATTATAGTGATTTTCTCCTCTTAGCTAAAGAAAATTCTTTTCTTTTCATACATTACTCTCTATGTGTGTTCTTTTTTTCTCGTGTTACTTCTCTTAGTTTTTACGTCGATTTTTCTTCAGAGCTCCAGTGGTCGGAAAATTGATCGGCGTCGGAAAACAAGTAGAGTCATAATCACAATCTAGGTAAATTTACTTTTTTTTTCTCCTTGATTTTGCCTTTGATAATTCATTTTTATGAATATTCTGTGTTTTAATTAAAGTTTTACACTAGTGATTTCTTTCCATCTGTCCTAGCCTTGGTAGATAGAGTTGCTTGGTACTTGTTGCTGGTGGGAAGTGGCAGGTATCCCTGGAATTTGTCGAGGTGCACGCAAGCTAGCCTGGACAGCATAGTTATTAAAAAAAGAGTTGAAATTGGAGTAATTTTTTCTCGTTCTTCCTCTTAGATCTATTTTTTTTTGACAAGTTTAGCCTTTTTATTTATTTCTGTAATTCGGAGTTCTGCTGAAAGTTATATCTTCCTGCACTATGTTTGAATTTTGCATTATTATTTTTTTTGCCTTGGGAAGTTTGATGGGGAGATTGTAGTGGTGAAAGTTGAAATTGGGGTTTTTTTCCTTCGTTTTGTTAGTTCTATTTTTTAGATAATTGCTGCCTACCTCTAGTATGCTTGTCATCATACTAGGTTGATTTATCAAAGAAAAATGTGATTGGGCTATTCATACAAAGAGGAAACAGGGTTACTCAGTTTCACAAGCATTTGACCTTGTCAGTTTACTTAGAATAATTGATTTTGATGAACCTAACCGTTTCCATTTTCATGTTTTGCAGAGCTGTGGAGGTGCGGTTTTGATTTTAGAAATCTTCATGCAAAATAAATAAGTCGGATTGAAGCTTTGCTGTGGTAGCGTCTTTATCAGAAAAAAATATTGAGGCTCCAAAATTTGTTGGACTTGTAGACTTGAATCAAAACCTGTGGCAAAATTTTTATCATAAACTTGGTGAGGGGTCAAACATGTCTATTGAAGGTTATGGGATGAGCAATGCTGATGGTTCTGGTGCAATGTCGGTGGATAACAGCAGTGTTGGATCAAATGATTCTCACACTGATATTCTAAACCAGCAGGGTAATCACATCCACAATAACTATTCTGTTGCTGCTAGCGTAGTGAGGGGGAGAGTTTCTAGGTTGAGTGATGATGCCCTTGCGCAAGCCTTGGTTGATGCTCAATTCCCCACCATTGGGCTTGAGATTTATCATGAGTGGACAATTGACTTGAGGAGGCTTACCATTGGACAAGCATTTGCTCAAGGATCTTTTGGAAAACTCTATAAGGGAACTTATAATGGTGAAGATGTAACCATCAAGCTTCTAGAGAGGCCAGAATATGATCTTGCGAATGCTCACTTTATGGAGCAGCAATTTCAGCATGAGGTCATGATGTTGGCAAATTTGAAGCATCCAAATATAGTACGATTTATTGGTGCATGCCGTAAAGCCATGGTGTGGTGTATCTTGACTGAATATGCAAGAGGGGGATCAGTGCGTCAGTTCCTCACGAGGCGGCAAAATCGAGCTGTGCCATTGAAGTTAGCTGTTAAGCAGGTCTTGGATGTGACAAGGGGGATGGAGCATGTGCATGGCCTGAATCTGATTCACCGAGATCTGAAATCCGACAATCTACTGATTGCTGCTGACAAGTCAATCAAGATTGCAGACTTTGGTGTTGCTCGAATTCAGGTGGTCAGGATGGTTGAGGCGGCAGAGACAGAAATCATGACTAATATCAGAACGGCATGTTTCAGGTGCTTCCCTCGTCCTACGGCTACAGGGAAAGAGGAAACTGGAGGCAAAAGATGTTGAATGGCAAAACTGATTTTACTATTCCCTATTATTTACTGTTGTTACTGTTCTTTTCTCCATTAGAATTACTTGGAACAAACCAAGTAGCTTTGGTTTTGGTTTAATAGAAAATATGTTTTGGAGAAAAGAACCAATTTAGTTTTCACTATCATCAAAAGTTGCACTGAAATGAGTAGTATCTCTCAAACTTTAATCATAGACTAGTAGTCATAAATCAGGCTTTATTTACAATCCGTTGGTAGACATTATTCTAAAATTTGTATTGGATTAATTATTTACTAGTATGTTATTCCCAATAGTTAGGAATATTGAGGTGGATGCGTAAGTATGCTAGAAGAGATAAGATAATTAAAATTAAAGATATTTGAAATAAAATAGGAGAGACCTTCGTGGAGAATAAGATGAGAAAAGTGACATTGAGATAATTCAGATATATGAAGAAGAATTGCACAAATGCATGCCCCAATGAAAAAGTGCGATAAGTTGGCTATAATGAGTTTAAGGAGAGATATATAGGCCGAAGAAGTTTTCAGAAAAGGTGATTACACACGAAAAATCGGGAAATTTGGGCGATTCTTAAAAAAGGGCTTATAAATGCAGAAATGAGCGTTAAAAAAATGGTGTGAGTATACGAAAAGGTTCCCCAACTCATTAAGGAGGTCCTCATAAAGTTTTTTGAGAAAAAAAATTCAGGTGCTCTGGGCGCCAGATACATGGGCTAATAATACACACGAAAAATTGAAAAATTTGGGCAATTCTTAAAAAAGACTTGTAAATGCGAAAAATGAACGTTAAAAAAATGATGTGAGTGTACGTAAAGGTTTCCCAACTCATTATGGAGGTCCTCATAATTTTTTTCGAGAAAAAAATTCGAATGCTCATGGCGCCAGATCCATGGGCAAATACATACAAAAAATAGGGAAATTTGGGCGATTCATAAAAAAAGGCATGTAAATGCAGAAATGAGCGTTAAAAAAATGGTGTGAGTGTATGTAAAGGGTCCCCAACTCATTATAGAGATCTTCATAAAAAATTTTGAGAAAAAAATTTCAGGTGCTTTAGACGCCAATCCATGGGCATCACAAAAAAAATAGGGGAATATGACGATTCTTAAAAAAAGCTTGTAAATGCGAAAATAGACGTTAAAAAAGGTGTGAGTATACGTGACGGTTCCCCAACTCATTACGGAGGTCCTCACAAAGTTTTTTGGAAAAAAAAATTGGGGTGCTCTGGGCGCCAAATCCATGGGCAAATAAACACGACAATTGGGGAATTTGGGCGACTCTTAAAAAAAGGCTTGTAAATGCAAAAATGGGCGTTAAAAAAATGGTGTGAGTATACGTGAAAGTTCCCCAGCTCATTAAGGAGGTCCTCATAGAGTTTTTTGAAACAACATTTCAGGTGCTTCGGGCGCTATATATATTGACTAATACACACGAAAAATCAGAGAATTTGGGTGATTCTTAAAAAAGGCTTCTAAATACGGAAATGAGTGTTAAAAAAATGATATGAGTGTACGTAAAGGTTTCCCAACTCATTACGGAGGTCTTCATAAAGTGTTTTGAGAAAAAAAATTCAGGTGCTCCAGGAGCCAGATTGATGGGCTAATACACACGAAAAATCAGAGAATTTGGGTGATTCTTAAAAAATGGCTTGTAAATGTGGAAATAGGAGTTAAAAGAATGGTGTGAGTATACGTAAAAGTTCCCCAACTCATTACAGAGGTCCTCATAATGTTTTTTGAGAAAAAAATTTGGGTGCTCGGGGCGCCAGATCCATGGGCTACACACGAAAAATTGAAGAATTTGAGCGATTTTTAAAAAATGGCTTGTAAATGTTGAAATGGACGTTAAAAAAAGAGTATACATGAAGATTCCCCAACTCATTACAGAGGTCCTCATAAAAAAAAAATTAAAAATCTTTCGGGTGCTCCGAACGTCAGATCCATGGACTAATACATACAAAAAATAAGAGAATTTGGGCGATTATTAAAAATGGGCTTCTAAATGCGGAAATAGGCGTTAAAATGATGGTATGAGTATACGAGAAGGTTTCCCAACTCATTAAGGAGGTCTCCATAAAATTTTTTGAGAAAAAAATTTCGGGAGATCCGGGCGCCAGATCCATGGGATAATACACACAAAAAATTGGGAAATTTGAGATATTCTTAAAAAAAGACTTGAAAATGCGGAAATGTGCGTTAAAAAAATGTGTGAATGTACATAAAGGTTTCCCAACTCATTACGGAGGTCCTCATAAGGTTTTTTGAGAAAAAAAATTCGGGTGCTCTGGGTGCCAGATTCATAGGCTAATACACACGAAAAATAGGGGAATTTTGGTGATTCTTAAAAAGGGCTTGTAAATACGAAAATAGGTGTTAAAAAAATGGTGTGAATATACGTAAAGGTTCTCCAACTCATTACGGAGGTCCTCATAAGTTTTTTGAAAAAAAGAATTTGGGTGTTGTAGGCACCAGATCCATGGGTTAATATACACAAAAAATTAGAAAATTTGGGAAATTCTAAAAAAAAGACTTGTAAATGTGAAAATGAGAGTTAAAAAAATTGTGTGAATATACGTGAAGGTTCTCCAACTCATTACGGAGGTCCCTATAAAGTTGTTTTAGAAAAAATATTCGGGTGCTTCAGGCGCCAGATCCGTGGGCTAATACACACGAAAAATCTGAAATTTTGGGGGATTCTTAATAAAGGGCTTGTAAATGTGGAAATTGACGTTAAAAAAAAGTGTGAGTATACATGAAGGTTTCCCAACTCATTAAGGATGCCCTCATAAAGTTTTCTAGGAAAAAAATTTAGGGTGCTACGGGCATCGGATTCATGTGCTAATATACACGAAAATTCGGAGAATTTGGGCAATTCCTAAAAAAGAGCTTGTAAATGCGGAAATTGACATTAAAAAATGGTGTAAGGGTACGTAACAGTTCCCCAACTCATTACCGAGGTCCTCATAAAATTTTTTGAGAAAAAAATGGTTGATCAATGGGCTAATACAAACGAAAAATTGGAAAATTTGAGTGATTCTTAAAAAAGGGCTTGTAAATGCGAAAATGGGAGTTAAAAAATGGTGTGAGTATTCGTAATGGTTCCCCAACTCATTAAGGGGTCTTCATAAAGTTTTTTGAGAAAAAATTTTCGAGTGCTCTAGGTGCCAGATTCAAGGACTAATACACATAAAAAAATTGGGGAATTTTGGCGATTTTTTTAAAAAAGCTTGCAAATGCGAAAATGGACGTTAAAAAAATAGTGCGAGTGTATGTAAAGGTTCACAAACTCATTACGGAGATCCTCATAAAATTTTTTGAGAATAAAAATTCGGGTGCTTCAGGCGCTAGATCCATGGGTTTATACACAAAAAAATTGGGGAATTTGGGTGATTTTTTAAAAAAGGCTTGTAAATGCGGAAATGAGCGTTAAAAATATGGTGTGAGTATACACGTAAAGGTTCCCCAACTCATTATGGAGATCCTAATAAAGTGTTTTGAGAAAAAAAAATTGTGTGCTTTCGGGCGCCAGATCTTTTGGCTAATACACATGAAAAATCAGGAAATTTGGGCGATTCTTAAAAGAAAATTTTTAAATGCAGAAATGGGCGTTAAAAAATGGTGTGAGTACACGTGAAGGTTTTCGAACTCATTGCAGAGGTCCTCATAACATTTTTTGAGAAAAAATATTCGGGTACTCTGGCCGTCATGGCTAATACACACAAAAAATCAAGAAATTTGGGAGATTCTTAAAAAAGGGCTTGTAAATGCAAAAAATCGGCGTTAAGAAAATGATGTGAGTATATGTGAAGATTCCCCAATTCATTACGGAGGTCCTCATAAAGTTTTTGCGAAAAAAATTCCAGGTACTCCGGGCGCCAAATCTATGGGCTAATTACATACGAAAAATTGGAGAATTTGGTCATTCTTAAAAAAGAGCTTGTAAATACGAAAATGGGCGTTAAATTTTTTTTGTAAGTGTACGTGAAAGTTACCAAACTCATTAAAGAGGTCCTCATAAAGTTTTTTGAGAAAAAAATATCGGGTGCTCCGGGTGCCAGATCAATCGGGAAATTTGGGAGATTTTTAAAAATGGACTTGTAAATGCGAATATGGGCGTGAAAAAATGGTTTGAATATACTTGAAGGTTCCCCAACTCATTACGGAGGTTCTTATAAAATTTTTTGAGAAAAAAAGTCTGAGCAATGGCCTAATTCACACGAAAAATAGGGGAATTTGGGCGATTCTTCAAATAGGGCTTGTAAATGCAGAAATGAGAGTTTAAAAAGTTGTTTGACTATACGTGAAGGTTCCCCAACTCATTAAGGAGGTCCTCATAAAAATTTTTGAAAACAAATTGAGTGCTTCGGGTGCCGGATCCATAGGCTTATACACACAAAAAATTGAGAAATTTCGACGATTCTTAAAATAGGGCTTATAAATGCGAAAATGAACGTTAAAAAAATGGTGTGAGTATTTTTAAAGGTTCCCAAACTCATTACGAATATCCTAATAAAGCTTTTAGAGAAAAAAATCAGGTGCACTGGACGCCAGATCCATGGGCTAATACACACGAAAAATCAGGGAATTTTGGTGATTCTTAAAAAGAACTTGTAAATGCGAAAATAGGCGTTAAAAAATGGTGTGAGTATAGAAAAAAGTTCCCCCAACTCATTACGAAGATCCTCATAAAGTTTTTTGAGAAAAAAATTTTGGGGGCTCCCGAACGCCAGATCCATAGGCTAATACACATGAAAAATCAATAAATTTGGGTGATTTCTACAAAAAGGGTTGTAAATGTGGAAATGGGCGTTAAAAAATGGTGTGAGTATACATGAAGGTTCCCCAACTCATTACGGAGGTCCTCATAAAGTTTTTTGAGAAAAAAATCTCTGGTGCTCCGAGCGCCAGATCAATGGGCTAATACAAACGAAAAATTGGAAAATTTGGGCAATTCTTAAAAAAAAGGTTTGTAAATGTTGAAATAGGCATTAAAAAATGATGTGAGTATACGTGAAGGTTCCCCAACTCATTACAAAGGTCCTCATAAAGTTTTTTGAGGAAAAAATTATGGGTGCACCGGGCGCCAGATCCATGGGCTAATACACAAAAAATTAGGAAATTTGGGCGATTCTTTAAAAGGGGTTGTAAATGCGTAAATGGGCGTTAAAAAAGGGTGTGAGTGTACGTCAAGGTTTACTAACTCATTAAGGAGGTCCTCATAAAGTTTTTTGAGAAAAAATTCGGGTTCTCCTGGAGGTAGATCCATGGGCTAATACACACGTAAAATTGGAAAATTTAGACGATTCTTAAAGAATGACTCGTTAATGCGGAAATAGGGATTAAAATGGTTTGAGTAAACTTGAAGGTTCCTCAACTCATTACGGTGGTCATTATTAAGTTTTTTTGAGAATTTTTTTTTTATGCTTCGGGCGCCAGTTCCATGGGCTAATATATACGAAAAAATCAGAAAATTTGGGTGATTCTTAAAAAAATACTTGTAAATTGGAATTTGGTGTTAAAAATGGTGTGAGTATACGTAATGGTTCTCCAACTTATTACGGAGGTCCTTCTTAAGTTTTTTGAAAAAAAATAAATTGGGTGCTCCGGTAGCCAGATTCGTAGGTTCATACACACGAAAAATCAGAAATTTTGGGCGATTCTTAAAAAAGGCTTGTAAATGTTAAAATTGACGTTAAAAAAAATTGTGTGATTGTACGTAAAGGTTCCCCAACTCATTATTCTTATAAAAAATTTTGAGTAAAAAAATTCGGGTGCTCCGGCGCCAATTCCATGGGCTAAAACACATGAAAATCGGGAAATTTGGGCGATTCTTAAAAAATGGCATGTAAGTGCAGAAATGGGCGTTAAAAATGGTGTGAGTGTATGTAAATGTTCTCCAACTCTTTACGGAGGTCCTCATAAAGTTTTTTGAGAGAAAAAAATTCGGGTGCCTCGGGCGCTAGATACATGTGCTAATACATACAAAAAATCAGAAAATTTGAGTGATTTTTAAAAAGGACTTGTTAATGTGAATATGGGTATTAAGAAAATGGTATGAGTATACGTGAAGGTTCCCCAACTAATTACAGAGGTCCTCATAATGTTTTTTGGAAAACAAATTCAGGTGTTTTGGACGCCAGATCTATGGGCTAACACACACGAAAAATCAGGAAATTTGGGTGATTCTTACAAAAAGGCTTGTAAATGCGAAAATGAGCGTTAAAAATGGTGTGAATATACGTGAAGGTTCCCCAACTCATTACGGAAGTCATCATAAAGTTTTTTGAGTAAAAAATTTTGGGTGCTCCGTGCGCCAGATCTATGGGATAATACACACGAAAAATCGAAGAATTTGTGCGATCTTACAAAAGGGCTTGTAAATATAGAAATGTGCGTTAAAAATGGTTCAAGTATACGTGAAGGCTCCCCAACTCATTAAGGAGGTCCTCATAAAATGTTTTGAGAAAAAAATTTCAAGTGCTCCGGGCGCAAGATCTATGGGCTAATACACACGAAAAATCAGAGAATTTGGACAATTTTTTTAAAAAGGCTTGTAAATGTGGATATGGGCGTAAAAAAATGGTGTGAGTGTACGTAAAGGTTCCCCAACTCATTACGGAGGTCCTTATAAAGTGTTTTGAGAAAAAAAAATTGGGTTCTTCGAGAGCCAGATCCATGGGCTAATACACACGAAAATCGAGGAATTTGGGCGATTCTTAAAAAAACTTGTAAATGCGAAAATGGGCATTAAAAAATGGTGTGAGTATACGTAAAGTTTCCCCAACTTATTACGAAAGTCCTTATAAATATTTTGAGAAAAAAATTTCAGATGCTCTAGGTGTCAAATCCATGGGCTAACACACGAAAAATCAAAGAATTTGGGCGATTCTTAAAAAAAGACTTGTAAATGCAGAAATGAGCGTTAAAAAATGGTGTGAGTATACGTGAAGGTTCCCCAACTTATTACGGAGGTCCTCATAAGGTTTTTTGAGAAGATAATTTTGGGTGCTCTGAGCGCCATATCCATTGGCTAATACGCACGAAAAATTGGGAAATTTGGGCGATTCTTAAAAAATGGGCGTTAAAAAAATTGTGTGAGTAAATGTGAAGGTTCTCCAATTCATTAAGGAGGTCCTCATAAAGTTTTTTGAGAAAAACATTTTGGGTTCTCCTAGCGTCAGATCCATGGGCTAATACACATGAAAATCGGGAAATTTGGGTGACTCTTAAAAATGGCTTGTAAATGCGAAAATGGGTGTTACAAAAATGGTGTGAGTGTACGTAAATGTTCTCCAACTCATCACAGATGTCCTTATAAAGTTTTTTAGAAAAAAAATTGGGTGCTTCGGGAACCAAATCCATGGGTAATACACATAATTAATTCAAAATTTTGGGCAATTTTGTAAATGCGGAAATGAGCGTTAAAAAAATGGTGTGAGTATATGTAAAGGTTTCCAACTCATTACAGAGGTCCTCATAAAGTTTCTTGAGAAAAAAAAATTGGATGCTCCGGGAGCCGGATCCATGGGCTAATACACACGAAAAATTGGGAAATTTGGGGGATTCTTAAAAAAAGGCTTGTAAATGCGGAAATGACCATTAAAAAATTGTGTGAATATATGTGAAGGTTCCCCAACTCATTACGGAGGTCCTTATAAAGTTTTTTGAGAAAAAGATTCGGGTGCTCCGGGCGCTAGATCAATGGGCTAATACACACGAAAAATCAGAGAATTTTGGTGATTCTCATAAAAGGGCTTGTAAATGTGGAAATGGGCGTTAAAAAAATGGTGTGACTATACGTGAAGGTTTCCCAACTCATTAAGGAGGTTCTCATAATGTTTTTTGAGAAAAAAATTCAGGTGTTGTGGGCGCTAGATCCATGTGCTAATACACATAAAAACTCGGGGAATTTGGGCGATATTTAAAAAAGGGCTTGTAAATGCGGAAATGAGCGTTAAAAAAATTGTGTGAGTATATGTAAAAGTTTTCTAACTCATTACGAAGGTCCTCACACATGAAATGATACATGTTTAACTTAATGAGGACATGAGCTAAGATAATAGGCAATGGAGGTCACATAACAAAGTAAAAGGTCAATAAGTGGTTGAACGTTATTTCAATTTCTCACGAGATAAGCTTGGTGGTAATTTGATACACCATACATGTTTCCTCGTTCATTGATCGTAGCATTATTTTTGTTAACTCACGTTATATCATGTGCTCCAGTTATCACATTAATTGGCTATTATTACTATTCCTTATATTTTGAATACTATGTTGTGCTTTTTCTTATAATTATTTATTATATCATATTTACTTTTCTATTCTTTTTTCAAACTATTACTTAAGTCATCGGTCTTTCGAAAATAAACTTTTTATCTTCACCAGGTAAAATAAAATTTGTATACACTCTATTCTATTACCGTCATAAAATTTAAGGGATCAAAATGTATAAAAATAAGTTAGGTGGGTGCAAAAGCCACTTATTACTAATTAAAGGAAAAATGGTGCACACTCATCATTTAGATTAAAGTATAAACGGAAGTTCAAAAGCTAACGACGTCGTTGAGAGTGATATAGGGTTTTGCCGCAGCCGGTGGTTTCAGCACTGCGATTTCTAGGGTTTAGGCCGGAGAAGACGACGGAGGAAGATGAAGCCGGTAGTAGGAACAGTAGTGTCTAACAAGATGCAGAAATCAGTAGTGGTGGCAGTGGATAGACTCTTCCACAACAAGGTTTACAATCGATATGTCAAACGGACCTCCAAATTCATGGCTCATGATGAAAAGGATGAATGCAACATCGGTGACCGCGTATATACTCTCTCTCTCTATTATCTGTTGTGAAAAATCGTTTTTTTTTTCCAAGTTTGCTGATGATATTGTTTTGATTTTTGATTGAGAATTTTTAATTATAAGCTCATTAGCTTGCAATTGGCTTCAAAATAATTGTTTGTGTCATTGATTAAATAAAAAAGCACCTAAATTTACCCATTACCTGGACTAATTGTAGAGATTCATATGTGTGTTGTTGTGATCTGTTTGTGTGTAGTGGAATTAGGTGAAAAATTGATGTCAAAATACGTGTTTGTTTTAGTGCAAATTAATGAAACAGCTATAATTACTCAATACATACACACATTGTAGAGGTACATTTCATTTTCCTAATTCTTGGTTGGCCTCTCCTTTTCTTGTAATCTGGTTGTAGGTACTATGAGTTGGTGAAAGGTTGGTCTTTTCTAGTGATGTTGCTGATGATGTTATTTTGTTTTTTTGATTATTCAAGTGTATTAGGTTTTGAGCTTGTAAACTTGCAATGAGACTCCAAAGTAATCGTTTGTTTTAATGAAGAACAAAGAAGCACCTAAAATAGCATTTCTAAACTCATTGTGGAGCTTCTTTTTTGTCCAAATTCGTAGTTGGCTATGTGTTCTTATCTTCTATGCTTGTAATCTGTTTTTTGGTACATGAAGTGGGTGAGTTATCCTCTTTTTTTAGTTCAAAATTTTGTTAACGATGTTATTTCTCGCACCCAAGGGTGTTAATTTGTGTTCAATAAAGTGGGTTGGGTACCATGAGGTCTTAGGATCAAACCCAAGCGGAGGCAAAAACACCAAGTGATTTCTTCCAGTGTGTCCTAGCCTTGTTGGACAAAGTTACCCAGTACTTGTGTTGATTGGTGGTCGCAGGTACTATGTGGAATTAGATGAGGTGTGCTCAAACCCATACACCACAATTATAAAAAAAGAAATGATGTTATTTCCCGGTCGCAACTTTGTATATGGAATGGGGTTTCATGGTTGGTGTATAGTCTAATCATGATAAACCTTTGAAGACCACAATTAATTTGGAATTGTATTGTGGTTGATTGATGTGTTCTTCTGATGGAATTTCTGATTATATTACACCTTGAGTTATACAAGAAAAGAGAAAGGGTAGACTTTCCCTCTGAATATTAACACATGTGAAATACACTTCTTATCTCGAATTTGAGGAAGAAAGGGAGTGGTGGGATGAAGCCATGTGCATAATTTTAGTTCAGGGAAAGATAGCAGATTCAAATATAAAAAAGATTTGGTAAATTCTGAGTATAGATGATGTATATATTTGCTTCATTTCATTAAAGGTTCTTTTGCTTTTTCCCTGTCAAATCATAATATAATTTACTACTAAATAGCTGTGGTAGGTGCAACTGAACTGATTTGTCAAGATGGTTTACTTTAATCCTTTAATGTCATTGCAGTGGAACTTTCAGTTACGTCCTTCATGTACCATTGTTGCATTGTATCTGACAGTCATTCTTGTAACTTCCTGCCTCTCATTAAGATCAACATCTCTCAATTTTTGTACACTCGTGAATGTTGCTGAAGCTTATTAGTGATTATTTAAGATTATAATTGGGGAACAAGATGTTGAGTTTTGGATGAAATTCCAATTTCAGGTTAAGTTGGATCATTCAAGACCACTGAGCAAGCGTAAGCACTGGGTTGTAGCTGAAATTTTGAAAAGAGCAAGAATTTATGTGCCTCCACCATGAACTACCACTGAGAGGGTCAACAAGACTGAAGTGCCCCCTAATGCTAGTTAGAGCTGAAAAAGAATTACTATCTCAATCTTCGCCTTGTGTATCCAGAACAAATTGCCTATTTACTAAACTTTTTTGATGTTTTTGCTCATCTACTGAGAAACAAGTACATGTCAGCTGCTGTTTCGGCGTTGATCAACTAGATTGAAGATCATGCTAGTCAGAAACTGGTGTTTTCCAGGTTTAAAATGGTCTGCCTTGGTCAATAAACCCAAACAGCCAAAATAGTTGTTAGTGAAAAGTTCCTAAGGAAGTAGGAATTCATAATAGTTGAGGCTGTTAAGCAACTAAATGTTGTATGTCCTGCAATTGCCTTATTGTCTATTTCCATAAAATCTAATCTGAAGTCTGGCACAAATTATGGTTTTCTTGTGTTACTGGCATTCCTGGCTATGAAGGTCATTTCATCTTTTTTGTTGTGAATTTGTCTGAGTTGTGCGTCTTAATAGCGCTCTTAAACGTAGCGACAGAGAGCTATTCTTTTCCCAACCATGCCCTGCACACATTTTGCTGTCAATGAGCAGAATATGGTGTGTTGTATAGAATCAAAATTTGAAGCAGAGTTGCTGCTAGTGAGGATTGTTTACTTGCTTATGCAAACAGTGATGGACAAACAATTGAATAAAATGAAAGTCATCTATCTTTAGCCAAATCTTGTTATCTGATCTTTTCTTTGGTTGTTATCGCAAAATGTTATTATAGACAATATGTAATACTAGCAATATATTATATGAAAGTCGTATTGAAAAGAACTTGATCGTTATAATAAAATGTTGTTATAGAGAATAGTTGACTATATATGTTGTTTATACTTCAATACCTTTTTCTAAGTAGCTTATCTGATTTAACATGAGAAATTTACATGGTAAGACATGGTTCATTTTTATTCACTCAACAAAAACCAGTTTAATTAAACATTGCAATTTCGCTACCTTTGAGTCATTATAATTTCTCAAATAACATTGTAAAGAATAATTTTTTTGTCAACAAATGGATTTGTTACCTGCCTTTTCTTTTCATATAAATAGTGTTGAACATACACAAGCTAACTGCCTGATGATATTACAACTCTTTAAACAGCTGAAGAAAACAGTATTTTACCCCTCTTCAGAAGTGTAATAAAAGGTAGAAGATATGGTAAACACCCTTTTCACAAGCATAACTATGTAGGAACTTTAATCAAATGCCCAAAATTTTCTGCTTCTGCATCGACACGAAAACAGTTTCTTCTGTATCTGATTTAAACTGAAAACCTTCAATAGTCAAGTGCCAGAAGCATTCCTAGAAAACATATCTGTCTGGGGGTGCTTCTTCTGGAATCTGAAAAAAAGCAACAAGAATTTAAAAGCACGAACAATGGACGACTTCAATATGTTATAGTTTTTGTTATTTCAAATGTTTTATGGTAGCACTGAATGAAATACATGGGTAGACATGCTTGCAGATGCACCATATATCAACTGCCAAAATTGGCTAAATGCATAACGGAATGCGATAAATGAATATACTCTTCTAGGGCGCTATGATGTTCCAGTATCATATTTCAAACCACATATGATACTCTTCGATCATACAAAACTGCATGACCATAATCCCATAGAGACATTTTCAAGGAATGTTACATTTATGTTTAGTTTTTTCTATAGGGTCCTCTTGATTTAAAATGAGCTGAGGGGCCTTTGGAAACAGCCTCCCTACCTCCAAGGTCTGCGTACACTCTACCCTCCCCAAACTCCACTTGTGAGATTTCAATGGGTATATTGTTGTTGTTAAAGTCTCATGATTCAAAATGCCCAAAAGCAAAGAAATTATTTAGAGCGTACCTCCCCAATTTTCCATTCCTTCTTTGTCCAAATGCTGTTATCCCCACTGAAGTCCTCTGTTGATGCAGTATTCCTGCAAAATAAGGGCATCAGAAAGAACAATCAAAAGGACGTCATCAAAAAGTTACGATTTCAAACTTCAATAGAAAAATGAAAAGACCAAAATATTGGTGAATTAGTTCTCCATAGTCTAAATAATAATCATGGCAAGTTAAGTAACTACTGCTGCAACTTACGTCAAGTTGATACTGACAGGGGACGCCGTAACAGGAAAACCCCCTTGAGAAGGAGTAAGAAGTTGGCCACCAGAGGGATTAGCAAAATGTGGTGAGGTCGTAGAGGTGGAAAATAAGTTCCTCCCAGAACTTGCGAAAATATTGCTGGGAGTGGAAGGATTTTGATATGACTGGGTAGAGACTTGGGTTCCGAAGCCAAAGGAACCTGCAAACAAAGTCAAGCTAAATAAAACGCATACTCAAGAACTGACAATACTTGAAAACCCTGTCAAATTACCTGATGCTGATGTATTCCCAAATGAAAAAGCATTCGCCCCAGACGAATTTGATGTCTTAAAAGAGTTCCCAGGGAGACTGGGTTGCCCAAATGCACTAGTTGGTGGAGTTGATGTCCTGTTAGTTTGAAAAAATGAAGTCAGAAGCTGGTAAAAGCCAAAACTCTAGCATATGCAAATTTATGGTACAAACTACATGTGTGAGAAAATTAATCTTTTTATTGTTTTGCATTGCTCAGTAGCTTCTCAACTGCGGGATTTGTTTCTAGTATTCACAGAATCAACTGAGTAGTACCAAAGACGATTTTAAAGAATTTCAGTGCTGGATGTTAAATAAAAAAGGAACTGAGGAGGATTTGGAAGACAATTCCAATCTTCATATGATGGATGGTCAGCAAGTAAAGACACCAAGGAAAAGCTGCAGCTATCTACATATTGAAATATAAATGTCTTAGTTTATTGGCTTGCTGGATGTAAATTAAATCATGTTAAGAAGATGTTGCTGTGATAGATTTTATTAGCTCATTACTTTAACTTTTATCAAAAAAAAGATTTTATTAGCTCATTACTAATTGATTTTGGTTAGCTATCAATAAAATTAACTTATCAAAAAAGCCAAATTCTAGTATAAACGCACTAATGTAGGTTCGTATGCATCAGTTCTAACCCTGTATTCAGTATGGTTCCCAACTGACTAAAACTTGAGGCTGAAGGAGGAAAACTGCTTTGAGCACTCGACAATGCATTTGGTGCGGCACCAGGAAAAGGACTTTGAGCACTCAATGAGGCACTTGGTGCGGCAACAGGAAAAGGACTTTGAGCACTCAATGAGGCACTTGGTGTGGCACCAGGAAAAGGACTTTGAGCATTTGGAGCAGAAGTTGATGTAGATGCATAAGGATTTCGCAATAGATTTTCAAATTCAGCTACTTTAGAATTAACCAGGCTCCTCTCTCTCTCAACCTGCATTAACACGAGGACAGAAAAAGGTTTGTTAGAACTTAGAAGCAAAATCATAAGATGATATTAGTCAATGAAATGATAAGAGTTTACTAATAAGTTGTGAATCATGTTAAGTTAGTTATCTCTCTAACTAATCTAAAGCTCTCGCTGAACTTAAAAGTCTTCCTTTTCGATAAGATAGAATTTTGAGAGTAAATTGCATTTATGCATATATTCAGATAATGAAAACAATTTTCAATTGCATCAATCAGTATGATGCCTAGAAGACAAATCAAGAAGGTAGCAAGGGTGGTGTCTTACAATAGACATCAAGCTCTGTCCACGTTTCGCATCATCGTATGCTGCTGCTCGCAACTCTTCATAGCTAACATCACCAGTAATATCACATGGACCACTGCATACAAAACAAATTGCAACTGCTGATCAATCTCTTTGATCTACCAATTTCATGAAACAGGCATGTGTACATAGAATTTGAATATGGGCCCACCGGATAAGTGCAGTGTTCCATAGAATACAAATTGCTTCTTTTTCTTTTTTCTACTTTCAGTTTTAGAATAGAGAAAGAGTAGAAACTAAGAGGATGCTCTCTAGAAGAGTTGCAACAAGTGCACCCCATATGATATTTTAGTTTGAAAAGAAAGAGAAAAAATGCAATCACTTCTCCAACCAAAATTCCTCAGACTAAGATTTGAAAATCGTCATCTCCCAAAACAGGCAGTTATAAAGTCGCCAATTAGCTTCAATTGAACAAGCTCAACCTTGAAAAAAAAGTGGTAGGCCGATGTTGAACTCTTCAACTTGGCCACTGAAGAAAGCGAAGGCTGGGCCTGAGACTAGGGAAGAACAAATATGGGAGGCAATAGCTGATAAAAAGCACAAAATAAAAAGATTATACTAGTATTTGTGTTAATGCATGATTCGCTCTTTGAGTAGTAGATCATTCAGGGAAGAGAGAGAACTCTATGGGCTCTGTTGAATTGTCTCCAAACTCTATTTGGCAAATGAAAGCGAAGGGTTAGAGATCTTCATTTTCCAACTCATTAACTCTCAATAATAATTAAAGAAGCTGGATGAGTACTTATATTGGCAAATAAAAGAGAGGGCTGGGGATCTTCATATTCCAATTAATACTAATTAAAGAAACTAGATGACTTGCCAAACAAAAACGGAATAATCTTCAATGGGTCTTCTTCATGAGAGAAACTCAAAGTATGACGCAAGCTGATTTAGCAAAGTGAGTGAAGTAAAGATAAGATCTAAAACATACTTTTTACGATGACCATAGCAGGTAAGCAGCCACAATGGCTTCTCATTATTAAAATCTTCCACAATCTGGCGTCTGCATGACTCAGCATCTGTGCAGCTTCACATGTAGCAGAACCAAACCATTAATTCCACTTAAATCATAATGCTAAATGCAAAACAAAAAGGTTTGTGCCACAGAACACTCACGTGTGATTAGGTGCTACAGGCTGATTGTCGGTTTGCCGTGATGAAGAACTGTTGGTAGTTGCAGAACGAGTCCACTTGTTTTCAAAAGGCTAAAAATGAAAAAAAGAAGTTAGTATGCATCATGTAGACCTGAAAGAGTTTATTCAAGATACGCTGGATGACTCAATCCTGGGAGAGTTTACTGCTAGGTCACCTAGACTTTTACAGTGTTATAAGACCTATCAATTCATTTTAATTCTTCATAGAACCTAGAAAACGAGGTAGAATCAAACCTACACATACTCATGCAAAAGTCCATAATCATAGTTGTATTACATAAATATGTCATTGATCTGATAAAGAAATAATACTGAAAGTTCCAAGAACCATACATAGATATTGACTCGCCAGTACAGTGGAAAACTTTAATTACCATAAATACAAAACAGTAAGTATTGAACTCCACATACTTATGTATAACAATATGTAACTCCATATGTCTCCATTAATCAACATTTCCTTTGGAATTTAGATTCATGTGACTTTTTAGTTTGAAGATAGCATCAGCAGCATTATTTTGTTTGCTGAAATCAAAAGGTGGCCTTGTAA